GCGGCTTCCGGAGGCCCTGGAGGCTCCGTTTGGGTGGGGGCTCCTCCCTGGGGGGCGCTCTGGGCCGGTGGAGGCTCCCCAGCCGCCTCAGGGCTAGGGCAGTTATAGTTGCTCCTGAGCTGATTCTGCTGCGAGAAATTACCACCTCGTGGGGCCCTGGCCGTGGGCTGCCGAGGCAGCCTGCAGATCTTCCACCCGCTGAGCCACGTGCCTGGACCCCCCGACCCGCTTCTGGCTGCCCCTGGGGGTGCTCCGGGGGGAGGGCTTGCAGGGGACCCCCGTGGACCCCCCGGCCACCTCCACATTCTCATAACAAGGTTCCGGCGAATCTTCCACCGCTGTCACGGCTGACTCCGGCGTCTCTGGGGAATCACCAATCCATGGCGGCTGCTCTGGGGAGGAGTCTGGGGCCCGCCCTGCCTGGGGGCCCTTCGGCCTCCGCGTGGGGCCGAGCGTCTCGGCTGGGCCCGGGAGGAGGCCCTGGGGGCTGAAGCGGGTCCCTTCGGCAAAGGAGACGGAGGGCCGCTTGGCCTTGGCCAGGCTGGAGGTGCGGGGGATGGCGAAGCCCTCCACGTCCGGCGGGGGGTCCTCCCCGGTGGTCAGGAGGCGGCGTGGCTGCAGTTCCGTGTCCCCTGGAGCTGGAAAAGGAAAGGAAATGGGTGGACGGGTGGGTGAGTTCCCGCAGCAGCCCCCTCCCCAGCTCCCTCCCTGGGGAAGGCCATTCCAGCCCGGATTCTGTCTCAGAGGAGTGAAGGGAAGAGGCGAGCCCCCTCCAAGCCAGTGTTAGGGTTTCCGGGGGAGGAGGGTGGCCACGACCCCCTTCTGGGGAAGCACAGGCTGGCTAGACTGAGCCTCCCCCCCCACCTGCCACCCCCTGGCAGGGCTGGATTGGGCCCCAGGGCCTGCCCTTCACTGCCCTTGCTCTCTTTCTGGGGTGGGGTAGGGGAGAAGGAAACGGAGGGGTCTGTGCGTGTCTCCATCTCACCTTGGCTGGCAGGCGGAAGCTCCTCGTCCTCATCTTCGGTGTCAAAGGAGGAGAAGGAGTCGGAGGGCCAGGCGGCCGAGGGGGCCTCGATGAAGCTGGGGCTGAAGGGGAGCTCCACGTCGTGGTGGGAGACTGTGCCGAGACCCGGGGAAGAGGAAGAGGAGGGGAAGCTGACCTTGACGGGCCAGGGGACCCCTCCGCGCCCTGGATCCCCGATCCCTGACCCACTGGCCCTTCCCTCTGCACCCCACCCTCCAAAACCCCACAGAGCCTGCGAGAGCGAAGGGGCTGCCGGAGAAAAATCCCCAGGCTGGGCGGTGGGTCACGGAATCGAATTAACAGCCTCCCTTCACTTTTTTTAAAAGCCAGTTTCCTTCCCCTGCAAAGCCAGCCTGGGAGCGTTCGCGAGGGAGGCCTGCCCGTTGGCCTGAACGCCGCCTCCAGAGTCCAGAGCCGCCCCAAGGGAAAGCCGGCTCAGTTTCTGTAGGCGTTGCCTTTGGGGTGAGTGGGCGGTTTGCAGCTGGGAGCCCCAGACCCCCCCCTCTCCTCACCTGTCACGCGGGGAAACCGGTATCCTCCAAAGGAGAAGCAGGGCCAGGCGGAGGTGAGGCCGGCCAGCGCCCCCAGCGTGTGGTGCTTCACCCGGGAGACGGGGTCGCCTTCGGCTGGTGCCGCCCC